AAAGGTGCCATCCGGTCCGTTAAATCCGGTTCGTTAATTTTTATCAGCTGTCCGTTAAATTTCGTTAAAGAAAAGGGAGAAAAATTCAGAAAAAACGAAAAAAATCCAAAAAAATCAAAAAAAAAACCCAAAAAATCACAACAACTGCGGCTAGTTGAAAATCTAGTATGCATAGGTTGAAATAAAATACAAACATACTCTCTAATAGCGAATGCCATAAACTATAAGTATGACTAAAACTCAAAAATCCCCCAAAAATCCAAAAATCCGCTAATTTTTGGTTAATTTTTATCTTTTTTCGTTATTTTCCGTTAATTAACGGAAAATTAACGGAAATTAACCTCTGTCCGCTATTAACGGATCCGGGTGGCCACCTCTAGCGGGCACCCGCCCGTGCTCGTCGCCTACATCTTTGGTTTGATCCTGTGCCCCCAGGTGCGTCCACTATAGGACGCTATTGATGCATGTGCCGATCGTCCGGAACGGCAAATCAACGGTCAAAACTGCCTTTCGCTGTGGTTGTGCCGCACAGCAGTTCTGGAGGCCCGCGATGGCCTTAAACAATAGCCATCGGCTTGGCCATCACTGCATGGAGTACAGTTGCCGCACCATACACCCAACCGCCAAGTGCCAACGGGCCCAAGGGTGGCACAGGGATAAGGCGGGTGTTTTAATGGTTGGGCAAGAGGAATTGTCGGGAAGGGATCAACGACTCCCCATCGAATGGGGATTCCTTGGTGGGGAGGGCGGGCCACCTATTCTTGCGATGGTGGCGAATTGCATCGCTGTGCGAGGGCCTCGGTTGTTGTGCCCCTGACTGTGACTGTGCAGGCGTGAGCTCAGGATGAGAAATGCGAGTGCCATCATTCCAAAGGTGCCACCCTTTTCCATAAAGGAAAAATGAACCTGCAGGTTCTGTTCGATAGGGGAGACGATAAAAGTGCACCTGGACTGGCAATTCAAACACCGGCAAGATAAATCCATTGCAGGCCACCAATCATTGTTTGTCAGGACAAATCCCCATTGACCACTAAAACGTGGCTGGGATGCTGAAAACTCAGCCCGCAGTACTTTCCAGTTTGAACCAGGCCCTCCCCGCTGCGGCTGACTCAACCGCCCGCCGCCGGTCTTAACCCCGCGCCAGGCCGCACCCGCAGTTCTTCTCCCGCGACCCGGCCGCCGGCGCCCAGCGCCGCCCGGTCGGCCAAACACTTGGCACAGTTTCCGCGGAAGCCCGGCATGGGTGGCCCCTTCCCCGGCCTCAGGCACCTGTCGCTGCGCCACCCGCCCCTGCAGAACGACGCCGCCGTCGCGACCCTTCTTGCCCACGGGGTACGGCCAGGCCACCGTCCATCGCCCCAAATCCTCCATCGACTGTGCTCTGGACGCTGAAGGTCGGTTTTGCCGGTGCAGAATGGCCTGACGTGGGCGCAAGCCGCGCCGGTGGTGGTCGACCTCTTCGTGCGTCCGTCCCTGACGCTTGCCGTCTGCGGCTGCTTCCGCCGCGAGCTGCTGAGATTGGTGGTGTCTCTTGGGGAGCTTGGTGGATCGGAGGGGAGGCAGGGGAGGTCGCTTTCGACCGTCGCGGTCGGCGTTGCGCTTCTGAGGGCCGTCGAGGCTGCCCCGCGAATTCGAAGGTGAGCGCGCGAGCGCGGCGTCAATGGCGTCGGGTGGCACGGGGGCCAGGGGCGGTTTGCATTGGGGCCTTTGGCCCAGCTCCCGTAGAACTTTTCCGCAGGTGTCGCGCTGTTGTTTTGATCGTTGTGCCGGGGGGCTGCGCGAACAGCTGCGACACATGCCTCACATGTTCGACACATGTCCTTTGCATGCTTCGAAACCAAGAAAACTGCGGCCGGCTCGTTGACTCGTGCATTAGGAAAGCGGCGGCGGTGACGTCTATTCATGTCTACGAAGATGTGGCTATATTTCCAGGGGGAACAATCGCGAGCATACCTTTTGCCCTCCTGTTGCGCGCCTTGGCGCTCCTTGTTGGGCCCGCTGTCCCAAGTGGGATATGCACTGAACAACATCTGTTGCGGCATCTGACGTCCGTGCCAGCGACGGCATCTGGCAACGACGCAACACACCTTGCTTCCGGCCTACAGTCGCGTGCGCTGCCGCCTTTTTCTGACGCAATCGCAATGTTGCAATCGTCGTGTGCTGCTTGGTCAGGGTCGTCCTGCAACATTTTCTGGAGACTCCATGCCCACTGGATTCAATCTCAGGGGGCGTTCTGCCAGATGGCCTCACGGACCTGGAGGTGGCGCGTGCGTGCCTGAGAGGAGTCAGGGCTGTTCCGGAGCTGGGGCAGTGCTGGGGCCCGAGCTGGTTTGTCAGATTGTTGAAACACGAGGTGGGCACCGCACGGCCACTCGTGCTGTCCTTGCGCCTGAACTTTGCACGTTGTATATCCAGAGGCGCTTCTATGGGCATTTGCATGTTGAACCCAGTCTGCTTGTTGCAGTCAGGTGTCCAAAAGGAAGTTTTTCATCTGTGAATTCCCGCATGTTGCACGGTGTTGTGCACAAGGCTGCAGCCGTGTCCATCAACCCAGACTGAGTCATTGACATTAAAAATTGTCAAGGCAGTGTGTGGGCAGCGCAGTGAAGAGTTCTGTCTGCCCATCATCCATCAACAGCATTGCACAATTCATGCAATCAAGCCCTCTGGGAGCCAACACTGAACTCGACCGCAACCATCTCACATACCCCACGGTTAAAACCTTCCTTTTCTGGGTCTTGCGTGCTGCTGGCTATGGCCTATGAGAGAAGGCAATTTCCCAACAGCTGTAGCACATCCTTCTGAAATGCAAAGTATACTTTCATCGGCAACTAAAAGACAAAGTGTCAACGTGCTAGCATCACACTGTTGACCTCATGACAAATATTCAGACATGACCATTGGCCTCATGACGGATATCAGGAAGACAGAATACTGCCAGGAGCTCTGATCTGTTATTGTGGCACTGTGGAAGGTGGCAGATGTCAGGTGGTGCTGTGTGGAGGCCATTTCTCACATACGGCAACTGGTAAGTGTGGCAATTTCCCATCAGAGTGCACGGTGAAGCTGCGAATTGGTGCCATTAAACCATGCAATGTCTGTTTTGCTGATGTCCAAGTTGTGTCCCAAAACTGTTTGTTCCAAGAGAGTCAACATAGGTGCGGACTGGAGTAGCAGGAGTGGGCAGAGTGGTGCTGAACCTCATCTTTCCTGCCAATGATTGTAAAGCTATCCGTGGTGTTCTGCAGACTGATTACAACAGGGAGAGATTGGCACATCTAGTTCTGACTGAAGAGGAGACCCTGGGGTGTTTGTTGAGGTAAGCTGTTTTCACTCTTATTGCCTGCAAAAAGAGAAATTGAGAAATTGAGTCTGTTCCAAGAGTGAGAGAGGAGCAAGAGGCTATTGGTGGTTGCAAGGTGGAATGAAAATGCTAACGATGATCGTGCAGCGTCCATCACTGAGAGGCCAGCACCATTGTTTTATGTCTCTCAGAAGGATCTTTTGCAAGAATAAGCCACAGGTTTGGAAATATATTTAACACCTTCCCTTTGTCCGCTATAAACCATGGTAGGCAGGCAGGTATGCAGCAGCAGTCAAGCTAGTATGCAACTTCTGTGGCTGCTTTGGATATCCCACGGACATCTTGATGGTCAAGACCATGGTGTTATCAGGTGATGCAGTGTATCAGGACTGTTGTACGCCTTGCAAAGTGAGAGGAGCACAGTAATGGGCATTGTAAACTCTAATGCATGCATAGACTGGCACATTGGAGGGGGATTGATGATGAAGTTGATGAACGGAAGGCTATGAAGTGTTGATGGCCGCTGAACTCACAGCAGCAGGGGCATATGCATCCCTTCCAATGGTACAATTTGGGCTCTCTGCAGCCTGTCACGTTTTGTTTTGGGAGTAGCTGCTCAACGAGATCGCATTTCAGTGATTGTGACCTAGGGTAAGGCAGATTGAAGAGCCCACATATTGGGTGCTGGCTCCACTGGCAGGCTGGAAGTTTTCCCATGTGGAGATTGAGGCTGTGCAAACAGAAAGAACTCATCAGGCGGCCAACTGGAAGTGTTGATTCTGAGATCTGTGGATCCTTTCAGTGCCAGCTAGGAAAAGTATGGTGAGAGCAAGTGCGGACATAGTATTGGTTTTTTACTCCACATCCTGGGGATGATGACCAGCATTGGGCACTGAACTCACACTTGTGAGGATATCCTATTGTTTCTGACCCAGTCGAAGAAACTGTTTGTATGGCATACGATTGTCATGAAAGCTCTGGTGTCAGTGATAATTTGTCCAAGGGAAGAGGTATGGGGGCATAGAATATAGAAACACAAGCAGTTATGGTGGAAACTTGGAGTCTTGTACCCCAATGCTGGAATCAGTGTCTATTTCACACCATCAGCTGTGGTCATAGCACCCGTTCACACACATTGCAGTGCTGGCTGGGCTTGGAGAGTTGAATAGGTTTTGGCCCAGGGGTTCTTTATCAGGAATGCTTTGCTGTGAAGCCTGGTATGTTGTTTGGATGTGCAAGTACACATGCTTTGGGTCTTGTATTGGCTAAGCTTATGGTGCTTGCTGGGAATTATGACTAGTGTGCTGGGCACAGGAATGATGGCTGTGAGAATATGTAAGCTTTCCTTCTGCAGGGAAGTAGCTTCAATTGCATGCAGTACCCTTATGTGTAATTGACAACACTTCTCAACATAAGTTTTGCAAGAATGAGATGAAGGGCATTTCTGTCTCACTGACAGTGCTTGCTTAAGTGGCTCACTGACCTTCATGCTGCATGACTTTCTCTGCATGAATGGCAGTCAGGTCCAATTAGGATTTACTTGCCTTTTCTATGGACATGCTCTGTTATACTGATTCCTGTGCACAGTTCCAGAAGAATGTCCAGCAGTTGTCAAATGGTAGGGATGGTCTTGGCATCGTTGTGCGTTGCAACATCTGCACCACTGTCAGTAGTTCTGAAATGCCCTTGTGAGATATAGTGTGTTCATCGTGTTCTGAATCTGGATGTCTTGAGAATTGATGACTACCATTGGGCACTGCACACTTATCCATGAGAATGTTCTATTGTTTCTGACCCCTGCATATTGTGATCGCTTTATAGCATCCAGTTGGACAGAAAATGCCAACCTGGAATCTGAGTCAAAACACGGCAAGAGTAAAAGGGTTAGAGCTTGGAGATAAGTGCCAGTAGCTCTTGATGCCACATCTGGGTTGGCCATGCTATCGATTTAAAGTTGTTCTCAAGTTGTTCTCAACTGGCATCCTTGGGGAACGGAAAGGGCTGTTTGGGTTTGTTGTTATTCAGAGAACTGTGAGTTGGAGGGGACAAAGATTGAATACCAGAATTAGAAACTAGAAAACTAGAATTATATTGTGAGAACTTGGAGAACAGGAGAACAGGCATGATCTCCTGTTTCAGACTGTTGCCTCGGTAACATCTGCTTTGTCATAAAGACAAATGGTCCTCTTGGTGCCGTCTGGGACTGAGGACTAGCATTGGCCACTGTGCTCATGATTGATAGAATGTCTAACTTGTTCTGACCCAGGAGAATTTTGTGTGAGGCATGGTGTCCTCGCAAGGCCCTTGGCGATGCTTGCTCCATAACATCTGTAAACAGGCTGCTGCAACAGTAGACTGGGTGTTCCTTGCCAGGTGGACCAGCTGGAACATATCTTTGCATCTATATCTTCTGCATGAGTATCTCACATCACACAATGTTACAAATGGCTCCTGTGAGCCCAGTGACTTCTGCAATATCTCACAGTTTGTTGCCTGTACCAATTGCTGTGCAGATGGCAGGATGACTGTGTTGTCTATCAACTTGAAGCAGCAGCGATGTGGCTGACTGACACAAGGTAACTTCCAGCACTAGAAGGTAGTTGCAATGTTAGCAGTCGAATTGTCCCTTTATGCAGCACACTGCATGGTAACGTTCCATAGACTACTGCTGAATGCGTTTTGCCCCTGAGGGGTTGTTGGGCCTGTGGGTTGGTGATGTTGTGCTACGAGAAACGTGAGACCTCTTCGATGTTGAAGTCAGAACACGGATTGAGGAAGCCTCACAATTTTGTGACAGAATGTGTAAAAATGTGTATAAGCTCCGCTCGCTTGGCTCGCTCGCAATAAATGGATGGAATTCAGAGCTAGTGAGTGTTCTGTACACAACTGTCTGTCCATTGTTTTGTAGTGAGATGGCTGATGATGAGAATGCTATGGAAGTCGAAGAAGAACGTGGCAATGCTTCTGGGGTAGATGCTCCAGCAGGGTACATCGAAATATGTGGTATTGAGCTTCCATGCAGGTGGGCACAAATGCTGCGAATGGTGGGAGCAACGCACAACAGTGGTTGCAGAGTGGGTTTCGGATTGTAGCGCCTGAATTGTCACATCCTTGAGGCAAACTTGTCCTGCACATGTCCTGCATATCAACGATAGGGCACAATCGCCCCAATTTCTCAAACTGTGCCTGTGCTGACTATTTGGATTGTGGCATGTTGTGTGACTGCAGGGGAGAAGTAATGCCTGCAAGACATTCACGGGATGCAAAAGATGCCCCTGGCTTTCTGTGGACAGCCTCAGTTTTGCGTAGCATGGAAGCTGCGACAATTTGTCTCTCTGAAGGCCATCCACTGCTACTGGAGGGCCCGCCTGGTATGCCTGGGGTGTTTGTTGCTTCTGTCAAATGTTGCTTCTGTCCAGTGTGGCCATGGTACATGGCACATGGCCAAATTTTTTTTGATGCCTCATCTTTTAGGCTGAAACTTGTGTTGAGGATGACCTCTTTCGTGCAACATCTTTGGAACCTTTCAAATGTCTGGTGGTGGCCTGGGAGCTGAAATTCGACTTTGACAGCAGCACCATGGACAGCAGAATCCTTTTGCACTACTTTCTAATTACTGCAATGTTGTTTTAGGCTGCGGCAAATCTTCCTTGGTCTTGGAGCTTGCAAGACTGACTGGGAACTTGGACATGGTCACCATACATATTGATGATCAAATGGACCCCAAAAGCCTCTTGGGTGCATATGTTTCCACGGCTGTTCCTGGTGAATTCACATGGCAGCCTGGGCCACTTGCGCAGGTACGTGACGACTTTCAGTGTGCATGACTAAGGCCAGTCTTGCAGCACCTTGCCCACACGGCCTGCCCAATCTTGGACAATAGGCAGACGTGATTTGTTCATCACTGGAAGTTGTAGACAAATAGGGTGAGCGCTGCGGACATGTTTCGCACATTGCCTGTACCTGATGTCCAATGTGAAAAGAGGCGTCCCAAGCACTGTCGTTTTGAGCTGTTGGCATAGCTGTGTGTGACAGATTCCTGCTGATGTTGGCACGATCATTTTGGCCTGGGATGTTTGTTGCCCTGCAGGCTGTCTCGCAAGGTCGGTGGCTAATAATTGAGGACATCAACCTGGCTCCAAGCCAGGTTCTCGCATCCCTAGTCCCTGTGTTGGAAGACAGGAAGCTGCCTATTCCACAGAGGGGTGAAGTTCTGCGGGCCAGCCAGGGCTTCCAAGTGATTGCCACCATAACATGCTCCCCTCACGGAGAGACAGCTGGAGCATATGGCAATTCTGACGTTGTCAAGGTAGCGTTGGAAAGTGGACTTCTGTTTCACAAATGCAGTGCCTATTCTGTCTTGCCAGCCTTCTGGTTGCTGCCAGCATTGAACCATGTTATGATGTTGTGCAGCAATTTTTGCTTGTTTGCACAGTCCTGCAGCATTTTGGCTGGTACGCCTGGACTAGAATGAAGGATTGAATTGATGAATGCCACTGTCTGCAGGAAATCTTAGGAGGTCTTTGGGGTCATGTGCGCATGGGCAAACTACCACATGATGAAGAGCTGGCCATTCTCAGTGATCGCTTTCCAGCACTCTTGCCTCTGCTGCCTTTCGCCATGGCATCTCTGCATGTCGTTCGAAGGGCTACGAGCACAGGGCCCACATCTGAGGTCCTATCTGGCAGAGGGGATCAAGTCAATTGGGCAGAACTGGAGCACATCGTTCAGATGGCTGTGCAGGCTGGGGGACCTAGCCAACACCGTGATATGAGTTTGCTTGTTGGCAAGCATTTTTCTTTGCGTGACCTGATCAAGTGGTGCAACAGACTGCAGGTGCTGCTCCTCTGAATTTAAAGTGCAAGTTGGGCAGCCACACAGTGCTGCAGAACAGCATTTGACCGTGGCCACTAGTCCTGCCCACCTAACCTATGACCAGTTCTCTTGCCTGTTTGCTTGCTTGCACCCGAACTGTAGAATGTGTGCGATCCGCTCAATCACAACAGCAATCTCAATTGAACGTGTGGAGTTGCCTAAGATCCTCTGTTCTGTGTGCAGCACATTCACCATAAACTGTTGAAGAATTCATTGAAGCTCACCCCAGCCCGGCTGGAGCTGTACAAAGACATTAATCGAATCCCTGCTGCTGTGCGTCAAGCAGCCTTGCTGGAAGGATGTGACTGTTTCTGCTCACTCATTCAAAACAACGCTGCCAAATTGCGGGTGATGACCAGTGTGGCAGCGGTTTGGGGACTGGGGAGCCATGATGTGGAGGCGCAGCAGGAACTCGGCAAGCCTGCACTGCAGGTATGTTTGTGTGTTGTGTGGTCAGTCTTTACTTCTGGTGTATGGGCAGCTGATGTTCTTTATTGTTGAGATGACGCCACTATGAATCGTCTTTTGCAGTCCAGCACCTGGAGCAGAGTTTGGGAGCATTTGCTTTTCTGTGCCAATTTGGTCTTCCGCATGGTATTGTGAGTATTCCACTTTTGGCACAAAATTGTCTTTGCAAAGAAAGGCTTGCTTTGTCCAATTTGAGGGAAAGCCTGGTGGAGTCAGACTAAGCTAGACTACCCTGAGAAGTTTGGGTTTGGGATTCTGTATCCTTTGTTGAAACTATGTTGGCGTTCTAGTCGGTGGGGTTCAAATTGCGGTCCTGAATTGCAAACCTTCACTGGGCGGAGGGCGCTTTCCCTCAGTTTGGACCAGGTTTTCACTGCATTAATTTTGGATTATGTTTGCCCCAACCTGGAACGCGCTTTGACCTTGAAACCTTTTGTGCTGCCGGTGTGTCAAAGGTGGTACCTTCCGGTTTTGCTGTAGGCAGAGTTGTCCTGCCATACATCAGTTCACAAGGCCAACAGGTTGCTTATGGGAGCCCATTTTCTCACACCGGGCATGCTGTGCGCATGATGGAACGCGTGGCTGCAGCCATTGTACAAGAGGAATCAGTTTTGCTTGTGGGAGAGACTGGCACTGGCAAGACAGCACTTGTACAACATGTGGCTAACAAGGTGAGGTTCAGATTTGATTTTAACTACTGTTCGTTGAATGTTGCTCACTCCTTTGGAGAGAGCTGATTTTGATAGCCACGGATGTTTGGTAACCGTCAGCAGTGGTGCTTCATCACTTATGGTAATATATTGGAGTAACAAGTGGGTGAGGAACTTTGAATGCAAGGAAAGGCCGTGCATTGGAGTGCCTCAGTTCGAATAGAAATTTCCAATCCTTTTGCAGGTGCAGTAATGACCCCAAGGGATTGATAGGCAACCTCAATCCCCATTATAGCATTGAACAAGCCAGAAGAAATCCATTCTGTGGGGCACTTGGATGACAAGCAAGAATGACAACTGCCATTGCAACATGCACTTGCTAGCAGTTATTGGGCAACAGCAAATTAGTGATCAACATCTGGTGGAGTGTTACAGGTGCAGATGTGCAAAGACAGTGCCACAGATGGAGCTTGTTAACGACTGCATTGAATCTGCCAGCTTCGTTTGCAACAGTTAGAGAATATGTCTCTACTGTTTTCCCTGCAATCTTGACTGTTTGTTGTATGGATGCTGTCTGCATTACAGGCATTGAATGCAGGGACTTGTTTTGTGCAGGTTGGTGCAAAATTGGTGGTTTTGAACTTGAACCAGCAGAGTGAAACTTCGGACCTGTTGGGAGGGTTTAAGCCAATATCTGCAAAAGATGCCCTTATGCCGCTTCTTCCACGCTTTGCAAACCTTGTGAGAACGACATGGACTAGGTAAGCAGGCAGCCTTACTTGCGCATGCATGGCAGCACTGCAGCCAAGTAGAAAGATACGGTTGCCTGACGTTTGGTTGGCATGGATAGTTGTCGATATGTTGTCATGAAGGGATGATGGGCACAGCATTGTGTTTATCAGACACGCTGACATTTCTGGCTGAAGGCACCTGAGCATAACATTCTGTCTGCTAGCTTGCTGTGTTGCAACTGATGCAGTCCGATAACTAATTTTCAAATTTGACATCCTTGAGCTGCAGAACTGTAGGTGCTTGTTGAGAGTCGAAAATGAAAGGCACAGGAAGACATTGTGAAAAGTAAATGTTCGTTGGTGTAGGGGGAAGAATGAAGTGTTCCTGTCGCGTGCCACAAAATATGCAGAGCGGGGCAACTGGCGTAAACTTGAAGAGGCTTTTCGAACTGCAGCAGAAAAAGTGAAGAATGCAAGAGATCAGTTTGGCGAGTCCAAAACGCAGGAGGGCAGACAGGTAGGTAGTATGCCGTTGTCACAAAATGCTGGCACCACTGTCATGGTGGGGCCTGTACCGTCGGTGGCAAATGTTTGAGTTGCCATTCCAAGTTGGGCACTTGCTAAGAGCAGTGCAGCCATAAGTGTGATCACCACAATAACAGCCAAATACTGGAATTCGCATGCTCCATGGAGTATCTCTTGCAATGCATTTTGAATATTTTCTTGTTAACTTCGTGATAATTTAGACTTTTTGCCAACAACCCACTGCTGTAGCAAGCTGACCTGAAGCGTTATGTTGTTGTGCTGTTCAGATGAGAACAATAGGTGCATCTGAAGCAACTATTGTAGCCAACAGCTGTCTGCAGGGTTTGCATTTCTCTGGGGCTGACTGTTGACCACTGCAAGGAAGATGTGGAGTAGGACTTGGCAAGTGAGCTGGTTTGCTATGCATGATTAGCAGCTTTTTCTTGTACACATGTTTATGTCTTCTCTGTTGCTTGTAGGTGGGACAAAAACGCCTGAGGAAGGATGGCCAGGTTGGGCAAGCGAAAAGGCAGCGGCAAGCAGTTTCAGAGGGTACCAGGTGGGTTGAGGTGTTGTTCATGTTGCCCGCTCCCTCCGGTTTGTCCCCTGGTGCCATGCTTACAGATACCGTAGAGAACGGGGAACCTACTGTCAACGGTAGGTTGCTTGCTTCAATAACGTTTTCAAAAAGTTTCTAGCCATGTAGGATCTGCGCTGTGATGTGTCATGCCTTATTGCTCTTTCGACGTGTGCAGGAAACTGTGGGATGACTTTGAACGGGACTTGTCAGCAGCTTCCCGTCTCAATCAGGCCTCTGAGAGTGCCTTTGCATTCTCCTTCATGGAGGGGGCACTGGTGAAAGCCCTTAGGCATGGCTGGTGGCTGCTTTTGGATGAAATCAATCTGGCCCCTCCTGAGGTTCTGGAGACTATTTCTTGCATCATTGATCGCACGTTGGGCAGCGAACTCACACTGACTGAAACAGGTGGTGACAAAGTTACTTGCCATCAAGACTTCAGGCTGTTTGCTGCGATGAATCCCGCCACCGACGCTGGGAAGCGAAATCTACCTGCGTCCATGAGGAACAGATTCACAGAGTTCTGGTGCCCTGAGCCGAGTCAAGTGGCAGACATTACAATGATTGTGCAGGGCTATCTGCATGGGCTGGGCCCAGCTGTGCCAGTGGACAATATTGTGGATTTTTATTTGGCTGCCAGGAACGAAGCGGTGAGTTTCAAAGTCAGTGAGAGTTTCAAGTTGTGGGATGTTGATCATAGTGCAATAGATGTTGCACATGCTAAAATTGTGGACACGTTTTGGACGTCATGCCTTGGGAAAAGTGTGGATGCCTTGCTTTGCCTTCATCTGTCCTGTTTGTTCCCAGTATTTTGGCCAAACCTTGCTGTGCACTGATGCTGCAGGACACTATTCTTCTTGATGGCGGAGGCCTGAAGCCAACGTACAGCTTGCGTACGCTGTGTCGTTGGCTTCTGTTTGTGCGGGAAATGTCCAGGATGTATGGCATGAGGCGTGCACTGTATGATGGAGCCGCAATGGCCTTCTTGACTGTCCTGAATTCCGAGAGTGCAGTCAGGATGGATAGACTCATCAAGCAGAGGCTTGCTCAAGGGCCCAGGGAACAGGTGCGTGCATTGATCCCAAACATTTCTGGGTTTCATTGTGTACTTTGGGTCAATCCTTAACCTTTGAGTGCTTTCTAGAGAAGGACATGATGTGTATCGTTGCTCAGGAATGACAAAGCCAATATGCTTGTGAACACCCTGCTGCTCTGTGTTACGCCTTTCTCACGTTTGGAGCATGTTGTTTGAGATCCTTTTTGGATTCAAAATTACTGCATCACATTGAAGCGGCCCTGTGCCAGCCCCATCACAGGCAAAGGATACGTGGGCCTTGTGCCACCTGGCAAGACAGTGCAAAGTGAGGCTAGCCCCGAAGGCCTATTGTGTCTAAGCAAGTGCCGATTGTCGAAGAAGGTGTGATGTTGTTATCAGAAATGTGCATGTGTTGAGTGGCAAATCATGCATCTCAGTACAGCCTGGCCCTTCAAGCAAAATGCAGTTCCATGCTTCTTAGATAAATGCAATGTCAAGTTTCTGAGAATTGTTTGTGCAAGACAAGTCAGCGTGCGTGGTCAGCACCACTTGTGTATGCCAAATGTGTCCCTCTCGTTTGCAAGGTGCATGTTGATGTTGCTTTTGTCTGGGCCAACATTGCTCTGCTTGTCTGTTATGTTTAAAAGGCACCTGTCGTTGCTCCCCGTGAGCCAAGCGGTGGGAATCATGTCCTCTTTGAGCAATTCTGGTTGGAGGTGGGAGACCAAGACATACCTGAGGGCAAAGTTTCTGCTGATGGAAGTGGCTCTGCTTTTGTCTTGACCAGCAGTGTCAGAAAGAATCTGCAGAACTTGGCACGTGCAGTTGCCTTAAGGTATGCAAGGGTGTTGGCAAACTTCTTCATTCCTGGTGGCCCATCTAGCCCAATTCTGAGAGTTTCAACGGCTCTGTACTCAACAGTTCTAAAGTGGTGCTGTGAGTGATGGCTGTTGGCTGCTGAAGACATGCAAACTTTGGTGCACATCTGTGCTTTTTCTGTAGAAGCCATCAGTGTGGGGAAAATAGGATATCAGGTTCGATGCAATTAGAAGCCTTTGTGGTTACCAGCATATAAGTTGTGGGATCATTGAAGCCAACACCCATTGAATCACACTGTTTCCTTGCTCAGCAGTTAGCAGTGAGTTTGTTATTCACTTGTGTTGCTGCGGAACTCAATGGAGTCAATGGCAACTAATCAGGAAGTATGGCCTGTATAGGAAATTTCCAGTTCTCCTTCAGGGCCCGACGTCAAGTGGAAAGACCTCGCTTGTGTCGTACATGGCTGCACGAACAGGGCACAAGATGATCCGCATCAACAACAACGAGTACACTGATCTGCAAGAATATTTGGGGACATACATAGCTGATGCTACGGGGAAACTCCGCTTCCACGAGGGTGCCTTGGTGCAAGCCATGAGGAAAGGTTACTGGGTTGTGTTGGACGAGCTCAACTTGGCTCCATCTGAGGTTCTAGAGGCTTTGAACAGGTAGGTATCCGAGTGCCGCGTGCTACAACTTCTGGCAACATTTACTGTCTGTTGGTCATGACAGGGCCCAACAGAGTTTGTTGCTCACTGCCTCACAATTTTGCAACGGATTTGCCATGCATTGCTGCCAGCGCCAGACCCTCTGCTTTGGTAATTAGGAAGGGCATGTGCCGTGGGTTTTATTGCTGTGTAAATACTTCATTGTTGGATTGTTTTCGGCACCACACTCTCAGCATCTTTGCATGGCTTGGGTTTTAACAGCCATCGGGAGAACCCTTTTGAGGAAGTCATCTGTGCCTCTTGTCAGGCTGTTAGATGACAATCGCGAATTGTTTATCCCAGAGCTCCAGGAGACAGTACAGCCACACTCCCACTTTATGCTCTTTGCCACGCAAAATCCCCCTGGGCTGTATGCGGGGAGGAAGGTGCTGTCTAAGGCTTTTCGCAGCAGATTTCTGGAGATGCACGTTGATGACATTCCAGACGATGAACTTGCAGTCATACTTGAAAATCGGTGTGGCATTGCCCCAAGTTATGCAGCTAAGCTCGTTGTGGTTATGAGAGAGCTGCAGAGGCACAGGAAGGTAGGCTACCATGGCGGAACCGGTGGTTTTTTATCATGTGCTTGTGCACAGCATGCCCTTTATGTTTGTTTTGTGCAATCCTGGCTAGTCACAATTGTGTTCTTGACCTTGCGGCAGGTTGAAATGCTGCAATTTTGGCTTTTGAGAGCACCACACCTGTTACTGCAGTTCATTGCCGGCATGGTACAAGTGCCCCACTTTGTCTTTTAAAGCAAATTCAAACAAAGGAATGTGTCCTCTGGGAACTGTGTGCCCGCTTCACTTGGTTTTATCTTTAGTTATGGATCTTTCAGAATTGTGGCCGGTTTTGGGTGGCCATGGAAAATCATCTGGTGGGCAATGTGTTGCCATTATCCAAAATGTGATTTTCAGCAGGAGTTTGACAGAGTGCACATCTGACTCTGAATCGTGTTGCCTTGTTTATGTGGCAGACTAGCAATGCATTTGCTGGAAAGCATGGGTTAATCACCCCACGAGATTTGTTTCGCTGGGCTGATAGGGGCGCCATTGGCTATCAGGAGCTTGCAGAGAACGGATTATTTATTCTAGGCGAACAGCTGAGGAACAAAGATGAGTTTGAGACCGTGAAGAAGGTGCTGGAAAAGACCATGAGAGTGAAGGTGAGCAAACGATGCTCCCAGCTGATGGGATTCAACAATACACGATAGTGCTGTGTGCAAATCTTAGGGCTTTCTGTTGTGCTTGCACTGTGAACATGGCTGGTGTACGAGTTCGCTGAAGCATGCAGACGATTAGAGCAATGGCAAGCTTGGGAGGCTGCTGGCTGCCAGCAGCTTGAGGAAGTTGTTCTGTGCAGGGTTGGAAACGTGTAAGTGTAACTACATGCTGAAGGCATATTTTTTTCTGCCAGCTCATTGCACCAAAGGCTTGAGGTATGGGCCAATTTGTGGATCTCTTCTGCCCCATCCATTTGCTGTTGTTGTTGATGCAATAGTGGCATTTTGTTGGCCCTGCTCCTTATCTTTTCTGCACTTGCTTTGCACAGTGCAGGTGCTGATTGTTCTGTGCCGATGTTTGCAGCTGGACATTGCTGCCATGTACGCACGTGAGGGAAATGCTCCCATCGAAAGGCTGGAGGCCGCATTGGGCAGCAGCTCTGCTGCACATGTGCAAAGCATCCAGGATGCACTGAAAAAAATTGTCTGGACCAAAAGCATGTGCCGGATGTACACTTTGCTCAACAGGTCAGTGCTGCCTTCGACATCTGAAAATTTCGTGCTCATGCACAGTGAATAGTGTTGCTGCATCTTGTGAGGCGTGTATCCCTTTGGCTACATTCATTCAGCTGGACAATGTCAACCCTGACGCTTTCCATGAAGTGAAGTTTCTTTGAAGGCGATCGACAAAGACAGGAATTAGTTTGACAGCACACTTCTGTGCCTCTTGTTGACAGGTGTGCGGAGCACAGTGAGCCTGCGCTACTTATAGGAGAGACGGGTGTAGGAAAGACGACTGTGTGCCAGTTGCTGGCATTGATGCGCGACCAGAAGCTGCACATCATAAACTGCAACCAGCACACAGAAACGTCAGATCTGTTGGGAGGCTTCAGGCCCATGCGGGACAGAGAGCAAGCACTGGCAAGATTCGTGCAAGCTGCAGAGGGCTTTGGGCAGTCACAGCTGTTTCAAATGTGTGAAGTTGCGCCTTTGCAGCTGCCAGGTGAATTCCAGCAACTCGTATGCAGCAAATGTCTTTTTGGCTGTCTCTGAGAAGTATGAATGAGCAACCATTCTGGAAAATGTGTTGTAAATGTGTTTATGAGATTATTGCTGTAAGAGTTGCTGGGCAAGTGCTTATCAATTTCAACCAGTTCAATCAATGGATTGACATAGCAGTGTTAATCAACTTCAAAATTTAATCATTTTCGGTCGCTGGATCGACACCCTGCAGCAAGCTCTTCCTGAAGCAAAGCTATCCACAAAACGATGGTGGTTCTGCTGTGGGCAGACTGGCTGATTGGTTGCAAATTTTCGATGGCTGGTGATATCTGCTGAAATTGGGGTCTCATTCCTTTGTATGCCACTGCAGAATCATTTGTTGGCGCTGACCTGCTACATGAAACCACCAAGGCTCAGAAAGTGTTGGAAAAAATCGAGGAAGCTGTCCTGCAGCACCAAGGGAGCAACCAAAACACAATGCATGACCAAGAGATGCCAGCAATTGAATGTCACCTTGAGGGTTTGAGGGTTAGACTATCAGAAATGATCTCTGCTGCTCGTGCAGCAAGAACTCCATTTACATGGGTCGATGGGCCACTTGTGGACGCAATGAGAAATGGTGACCTTGTTCTCATCGACGAACTGAATCTTGCAGAAGATGCTGTCATAGAACGGATAAACAGGTAATGAAAGCACAATGTAGTGCATCAGAAAGATGGTATGTCAGAATGTAGCTTCTACTGGAAAACGCCAGTCGCACATCAAATAAGAATGGAAGACAGTCAGTTCTTGGAAGCTCATCAAGCGTATCTGTGATTTTGGGGACATCCACAAGCAAAGGATACCCCCAACTTGCAATTGTTTGAATACATTCTATTTGTTACCTGGTTGTGGCCCCCATGTTGGTATATGCCAGCATTGCGTAGTGCTGGATAATGCTGTTCTTATTGTGTGCTTTCCATTGTACGGGTTCTTTCAATAGAAGAAACAAAGTCAGCAGTTTCTGATATGGTGATGCGGTGCTCAAGGAGGCACTAGCGAAATGTTGATTGCACGAGAAACCTTCATGGCACTGCTCTTATCTACTTATTACAATTTACCTTCTGCTGCAGTGTGCTCGAAGTTGGAAGGACACTCACACTAACTGAGAAAGGGGGTGAGACTGCAGAAGTCATTAAGGCATCTGAAGGCTTCCAGATCATTGCAACCATGAACCCTGGAGGAGACTATGGAAAGAAGGAATTGTCCCCAGCATTGAGCAATCGCTTCACACAGATCTGGGTTCCACCCATTGACAACGGTGATGAGTTGCTGCAGATCGTGAAATTCAATCTTTCAGGTGAGACACTCACTAGTCCTTACAGATTGTGCCACACCAGTACAGATTCCTTCTGCGAACCCAAACATCCACAGGGGTGTGCTTGTTTCCCTTGCAATGGATGTTTCTGATGACAGATCAATGAACAGCACGTTTACCCATATCAGCAACAAGGAA